GACAAGGTCTATATCACAAACTTCCACCGACCCAGTCTATCTTCCCTTCGGAGATTTCGTTCTTCCCTTACTCCACCACCCTGTAGGCACAGTCGTTCCGGGCTCACCTTAAATACCCGTCCCAGCAGCTAGAGAACCGAATCCTACAGAAACAGGAGCACGGTTCGATCGAATGTTGTTATGCCTCGCCTATCACTATCCTGGATGGCCGGAATCCAAACATTCCACGTAGTAAAGCGTGCTAGACACAGGCCGTAGGAAACGGGAGGAAGAATGAAAGGAAAACAGTTTATAGTTCTATCCAGAGTTCCGGACTATATAGCGCACCCATCCCTGGACCAGGGCCGGATGTATTGTGCACCACGGCCACTCTACATTGCACATACGGCGCCCCAGAACATTCCTGCGCACGGGAAAGCCTTGCTGCCCCACAGGTACTGTGGGAGAATGTGTGCGAGATTTATCATCACTCGTTGAGTCCGCAGCCGTTCACGATTGGAAAGGTAGATGGATCGGGGCAGCAGTGGGCAGTATGTACATTCAAGTCGTTGCATCTGCAACACGCGAAAGCCGGGAAGCGGAACGGAGGCGGAAGGTGACCGAGAGCAGGTTAAAGTAGATTGACTGATAGCGTGTCCAATTACCTGAAGAGACTCAAGTGAATACCACACCCCCCAAGGCCGCTTCCATCCCAGCGCGGAGCCGGCGGCGGACCCATTCGGTGGCACAGGCACAACGGAGAGAATGAGGTGTTAACTAATGTCTGTGCACTGCAAATTTATTGGGAGGGTGAGGGCCGAACAGCAGTACTCGAGTATTGAGCCGAGGGTGGTGAGATGTGATGTCGGTATGCCAGGTCGGGACCGAACGCGACGAGAAAGATCAAGCGAAGAGATAGTAACATTACGAACCTCCCTGCCAGGCCGCTCTATCGCCGTGAGTCCGAAACTAGAGTTGGAAGTTGTTAGCGCGTTCAATCTTTGTTGAAATGTCGGAATCAGGGTGAATGTGAGCACAAGTAAAAAGGAGATTGGGGTATCATGGCCATCGTCACAGCCTTCTCGGATGTCGCCAGTGCCCAAGTTTCTCAGGGGTTTTTTCTTTCCTACAAGGAAATTTCTCCTGGCTGTGAATTTCGGTGAGAGAGTTAGCCCGAACCCATACTATCTTTCTGGGTGGAGGAGGGGACCCGAAAAGACGAGGGGACTGGAGAGTGGGCGGTGTTTGGGAAAACTGTTGCTGGTTATCCAGCATGGAAAATGCGGCGGTTGAATAAGCGAGAGTACTTGGTGGTGCCTGTCATGGAATGGGTTCTGAAGCCTTCTTCCGATATTACGGCCTTATGGAGGGGAACGGGTCCTAAGATAGGGAGAAAAGTCTCGGGGGAGTGCGGCCAATGGCGGAATGGAAGCCACGCGGGGAAGGTTGTTCTCGAGGACAGTGCTGGTACAAGTACTCGAGTACAGTACTCGTACTTGAGTATTCTGTCAATAAACAACCCATGGCAATCACTCCAACCCGTACGACTGGGGGGGCTCACCAGCCACGCCAAGTTTCGTTAGTTGCATAAGATCCCGCTCGCGCCCGATCATGGGTGGCGGTGTCGGTACTGGTCGCTGGACAACGGAGGCATTCAAGCTCCACGGTTGAGGAAAACTATTTACAAGTTTGGTTTTTTTTGGGTGGAAGGAATTTCGCTGTGTATAAAGCCTCCCTGTATGCGAAACTAAAAGGTCAACTCGAAGCCTGGCACTCAGAAAAATACCTTTTCAACAATGGGACTAAATTCCCCGTGCATGACTTCTAGTGTAAAACAAATGCATTGAAGTGACTAAGCAAAGATCTTGGTGGATTGGCCTACTCCCTACGGAGAATAGTGGGCAAAAACCTCAGTTTTCAATTGCTTGTTTGTAGTTCATCAAAAGCGAGTGCCCCTTTCCCCATAATACTTCAGGATTAATTTGAAGCCTGCTCAGCACCAATCGCAGCTTGTAAAGTTGTATCATATCAGAGGAGTTGTCCCCACCATGAGTTTATTCGGATACTGAGATAGTTGCCATGGCAACGCTCACCACAAGGTTGCATGCTGTGGTAAGCCTCAACCTAGTGGGGTATCGTCAGAGAACTCTCGAGATGAACTTGAGCTGGATGGTAGTCTACGGTAATCTTGAAATTTACATGCGTTTATAACTTAACCACTAAGAAAATCTCTTGTCTTAGTTCGGGATGGGAGCTTATTTTACGGAATCACCTCAGAATGACAAGTTTCTGTGTATGATTGATGTGCCGGGTGACCAGGGTTTCTGCCTAGTAACTTTAGTAAGCGAAAGTGCTTTGCTTTTGGCGGCTACGGTACCGTTTTTGCCATGCGCAGCCTTATCTCGTCATGATGCATTCCTGTGCCTATCACACCCTTCGGATACCATCCTCGACCGAGATTTACCTTAGACTACCCCCCCGGTCGCTTCCATATTGCAACGAGCCCACCCGCCACTTTCCGAGTGGGGCCAGGCACATACCGGTAAATCTTTCCTCCGGTTAAAGCAAAGGGAAAAGAATGAAAATGAAAAAGGATTGAGGAGCTCTCACGGCTCATCAGATTTGCCCTTCGATTCTGCAGATAGTTTTTCGAACTTTTCTCATCATTTTATAAAGGGTCAGAGGAGGAAATTCGTTCCACTGGTTGCACTGCGTGGCCAAGTGGATTTTTTTTAAAAAAATGGTTGCCCGTCTGCGGATGCCGGTATCTCTCCGTCCGGCTCGGTGCATTAATTGCGAGTATTATACTCGGGCACGTACGGTACTGTACAAGCACTACTCGGGTATCCCCTGCAGTATGGACAAAGCCCAATTTTCCTGCATCGCGCTGGGATTCAAACCAGTGTGAATCGGCTTCGGGCCATTCTGGAAAGGGTAGGTGGGTGATATCAAGATGTGGTGAGATGAAGCTACAAACCTCTTTCCTTTAACCCAAGCAGGTGAGCCTATCATGGTAACTTGATTTGCGTTTACAGTATAAGTCCGGGGAATTGGTAGCATCATTGAACTTGATTGTCACCTGTCATAGGCCGCGTATTCTGCTGTCCTTAGAGGGTTGTAAGCTAATCTGAGGTCATCATCCACTATGGTATGAGGAGAGCCTGATGATTTGTCTATAAAGTTATTATGCGCCGACCGCATTTAGAGTCACATTCGGGTATTACTCATCTGTGAGGTTGATTCAGCCAATAAAGGAAATCCGTTAATGTGGCTAGCTTATCTTTAGTGTCGTGTGGGGGATTCGGCGCAATAAACACAGCGGGGGATAGATAGTACAGGACTTAATTGGTCTACAGAATTGTACAATACTCGTGTAGTCTTGCTGGTAACATGGGCTACCAGATGTCTCGACAAGCTTTCTGTGAAGTTGTAGGGGTTGTCTGGACTTTCCGTTGGTCCACACATATTGGAGTACCGGTGCCGCATGATAATTAACTCTGCCCACGGAATACCGACAATGCAATAGGAAACTTGGCGTTGGGGAATACCGTCCGTTCAGTAGAGTGCTGAATTTCCCCTCCTCAGAGACGCGACTGCGGTTTGTTTGATCATGAGGGATTTGTTGATAGAAAGTTCCCTTTTCGGAGGGGGGTTTCGTAAGACGGAGTTGGGCCGTGTTACAGATACCCTCGCGTGCCAATGCATATTAGAAAATAGGGCTCGCCTTAGAAGGATTTGCATGGGTCAGAAGAAAGAGCTTTCCGAATTTTTACTCGAGTGCCGGCTGCGGATTAAGTTAGGGTTGAAAACCACAGTTTAACGGGTCCGGTACCCCGGTACCATGTGCATGGATTAACCTAGCAGGCATTTCAAGTGCGCACTACGGTAACTTTTCCTTTAGTGTGGCACTGGTATGAACATTAACTCGTCACTCGTTCCATTGCAAAGCGAGGCTTGCAGTGAGAGAATTGCCTGCACCTGATTGGTTATCCATCTAGAGAAGGAAAGCCTATCCTTGAATGGGAGAGGGGCCTGGACATGGAGTCAAGTCTAATGGCTGGCTTACTGCCGTCCTGACCAGGACTAGGTCTGCAGCTGCAGTGCGAATGTGTAAGCGCTGATATTTGGAAACCCGGCTCATGTGGATTTGGATAAAGCATTGTTCTAAAAAGATGCCCTCTACAAGTAGTCCCTGTATCTCACCCCACCTTTGAATCCGCACTCGAAAAGCCCAACCCACAAGTGTCTGAAGCTGCTAGGACCGCCTGCCTTAGAACCAGACGCCGATTCTTTATCCTTTACTACGAGTACCAGTACTGAGATATAGCGAGCTCTCATAACTACACCCTTATATTTCTGCTCTCAAGCCTACAACATTCGTGAAAAAAGAAATGGCAGAGCCCATCTCTCTGGCTGCCAGCGTTTTGGCCCTCATTCACCTCGGCGCAAAGGTTTACCAGCTTTGCGATGACTACTGCGGTGTGGTCAAGGAGAGCCAACAAGATTTCAAGAAACTGGGAGATGAAATCAGGAGTGTTGACAAACAGCTGAAGGAAATACGGAGCCTTGCTCTGCAAGGAGATGAGAACAACCCGCGATACCCTGAGCTTCTTGAGTGGACGGAAAATGAAAGTTTGAAAGGCTATCAGACTGCACTGGAGGAGCTGAAGGACAAGTTAGATGTTCCGGGATGGAGGAAAACCTCCAGGAAATTACTTTGGCCAGTTCACAAGCCAAAAATGGAGCGTTACCTAGGCTTAGTCGCGGAGCAGAAATTGAGGCTTCAATTGTTATTAAACACCGCTACAATGTAGGTTACCCATTCCTCGGTACCCGGAAAACCTAACTTCTCCACTTCCTCTTCTCTTTTTTTCCTCACGTCTTTTTAAGCTAGCGAGACTAACTAGTTGTTTAGGAAGACGGTAGCTGGAATGTGGCGAAAACTAGAGGGTACTTAGCCACATTATCCCTGACCCTGACCATTATTTTCTTTACTAATATCTGATATTGCTAAAACTACAGAGACAGAATTTCGGGAAGTTCAGAAATGGCTAAATGTCGTTGATCCTGCGGCCAATTTCTCGTCTGCGCTTGCTGTTCGTGAACCCGGGACTGGGAATTGGCTGCTGGAGGGACGTGATTATATGGACTGGAAGGAAGGCAATGGGGGGGTTCTCTGGCTTTATGGAATACGTAAGTCTGTGGATGAGTGAAATATTGTGCTCCAAAGAATTTCATTAACATTTCTTTCTTGTAGCTGGATGCGGCAAGAGTGTCCTGAGGTGAGAACCTAACCAAATTTCTGGAGGTACGATATAACTTCTTTTACTGACTAGCTCTTTAGCGCTACCGCCATTGAAGATGTCACACCTCTATGCAGCCTGAGGGATGATCACGCATTAGGGTATTTCTACTTTACCTTCAGTGACTCGCAGAAGCAAAATTTGTCCAATATGCTCCTATCTCTCATTGGCCAACTGCTCCGAGGGCGTTCCGACACTGCCTTGCCCGATGAGATCATGAATCTGTATCGCAAATCCAAAGCAATTGGAACGTTGCCAGATATAAAAGATCTGCAAACTGTATTTTCGCACATCACGAAGCTCTCCAAAAAGACCTTTATCATTTTAGATGCCTTAGACGAATTCCCTAAGGAGACACGGGGGAGTGTCCTATCTTGGCTTAGCGAGCTTACGGCGGATCACAACGCCGAATCGCTGTCCATTCTCGTCACCAGCCGCTCCGAAGCCGATATAGTGAAGTCCCTGGAACCACTTACCACTTATGCGATATCCCTACAATCCAAAGTTATCGATGCAGATATCCGCGCATATATACAGAACTCCTTAGACGGCAAGGATGGATTCAAGAAATTTACCAAGGAAATTAGATGTGAGATAGAGGACACACTCGTTTCTCGTGCGCAAGGAATGTATGTTATACTCAATTTTCCAATCTTCAACTCAGACTGATACAAGGTTGGATATGTGAAGGTTCCGATGGGTAGATTGCCTTTTACGGATTCTTCAGGAATGCATAACGCCAAAAGCTGTTAGAGCTGCCTTGAAGGAACTGCCGAAAGACTTAGATTCTGTCTACTTAAGGATCCTTGATAGTATTCATGAGACGCAGAGGGAATACATCCAGCGTGCGATGCATTGGCTCTCATGTTCGGCTGAACCGTTGACCTTAGATCAACTTGCGGAGGCAGTTGTGATCGAATACGATGTCAACAAGTATGGCGAGGATCCAGAAACTCTCTTTGAGGCGGAGTCCCTCATGAGCATTTGCCCGAGCCTTATTTCCTTCGAAGATGCGAGGGACGACGAATCACCAACCCAGGAAAGCCGGCGATTACGACTAGCTCATTTTTCGGTAAAGGAATATTTGATCTCCGACCGGGCAGCTCAGGGCCCCAGTGCTTACTACCATATTTCGGAGGATAAAGCCAATTTACTGATGAGCCATGCTTGCATTAGCCGAATATTGCGACATGGTGCTCAGGTTGCTATATCCACGGGGGAAATCCAAGTAACGCCATTTCTCCGTCATAGTGCTTGGTATTGGTTCATCTATGTTAAAGCTATCGAGAATATAGCACCCGCTCCACTCTCTGATGCTACTCTGAAAGTCCTGGAGCTAGACGAAGGGTGGCTCGAGATACATGACCCTGACCGCCCGGGCCGGCGTCTTCCATGGTGGTTCAAGCTTGATCCACGACCAGTCTACTATTCTTCTATGTTAAATTTGGTGGTGGCCTGTACAACACTAGTCGATAGAAAAGAGGACGCGGTAGATGTGGATTCTCAGGGTGGCCGTTTCGGAAAAGCATTACAAGTAGCTGCATTGATGGGGAACGAATCGGTTGTGCGGCTTCTTCTCGCACGTGGGGCACAGGTGAATTCTCAGGGCGGCGAGTATGGCAATGCACTACAAGCAGCTACAGATAAGGGGAATGAAGCGGTTGTGCGGCTTCTCCTCGAGCGTGGGGCAGAGGTCAATGCCCAGGGCGGCTTTTACGGCAATGCACTACAAGCAGCGGCATGTAACGGGAACGAGTCGGTTGTGAAAATTCTCCTCGAGCGTGGAGCAGAGGTGAATGCTCGAGGTGGCCGTTATGAAAATGCTCTGGAAGCAGCTGCGGATCGGGGAAGCGAATCTGTTGCGCAGCTTCTCCTCGAGGGTGGTGCAGAGGTGAATGCTCAGGGTGGCTATTCTGGAAATG